ATGAGCAAGCACTCGAAGAAGAACCTCAGTTTTACATCTCAACTAAAAGAATCCAACAACAGTATCCCTTCCATAATGCTATTTCCATACTGACTCGGAGGGAAGAGGGCCACCTAACAGATCATTATTATTTGAGCAAAGCTAGTATGGTTAGCACTATACAATGCAGAGAGAACGTTATGATCTGTTCCACAAGTTGACAGACAAAACAGACGACATACCAGTTGGCTAGACGAAGGTCCAAGTTCAAAAATGGTGCTAATTGTTGTGTCATGTCTAAAATGAGATTTACTTCTACAATGGTTAACTACTTAAAAGCTTTGTAGAAGAATGCGCCACAAGGCAGGATCTGAACAAAGTCATTTGGAGCACAAGAAAGAGATTATTTCAAGAACAAGGAGTAGCACAAAAAAAGGAATGAAGCCAAGAGTGGAGAAGGATACGGAGGGAACAGACATGAGAGAAGGGAATGGATGCCTTGTGTATATAAAAAAAACAGTATCAGTTTAATTTAAGGTGTAATTTTAAACCAATTTGAGTGCAAAAGGTTGGGTGGACACTTATTTCAGTTTAGCGTAGTCAATTAGGATCTGTTTAAGCTAACTCAAAATAATCCCTCAAACTGAGATAAGTGAGCCTACACGGGGGTTTGCACTGGTTCAACTAAACTGATGGTAAAAACAAATTTAAATTAAAACAGTGACTATTTCTCACATAAACAAGGCCAGGGTGAAGGCAGGGAGCAGTGGAATAGAATTAGGGAGAAATGTGAGCAGAGATGTAGAGAGGAGTGGTGTTATGCACAGCTTCAAAATAAGGACCATGAGCTTGAATTTAACATAGAAAAAGGGGAGCCAGGAAAGGGCTCTAAATAAGAGACTAGCATGGCCTGAGAGGTGTGAAAATCACTAACACTATTTAGGTTTTACTATTACACTTACTATTTGTATTGCAGTAGTGCCTCGAGGCCCCAGCTCCATTGTGCTCTGTACTGTGTAAACATATAACAGACAGTCCCTGCCCCAAAAGGCTTACAGTCTAACAAGTACCACTAACTAGGCCTCATTCCACTTAGCTTGTAGGATCTGAAGATATCACAGCCTGTAGTGGCAAGGTTGTAGGTAATCCTTCCACTGAACTCACCACAGGTGATCTTCTCAAAGACCCTTCCAGTGACAAATGCAAGTAAAAAAAAGGAGGAGATAATACTGGAGATCAACTAACTGATATGCCAGTGGTGTCAAGACTCAAAGTTCTGTGATTAATTGTGAGGAGACATACCATGACATTGAATGTTGTTTATAGGGCTTTACTTCTGCTTTTTTCAAAAGAATGACAGCAAATGGCATATAAGCATAGTACAGCACAGGATTAAAATTGAGCCAGATTTTGCCAGGTCAATAACCCCAACAATCTTCTTGGCACTGCTATCTTGTTCTCCAGAATCACAACTGTAATTTTTTAAGGTCTTTAGCCTTTGCAGTTATGCAGAAATCCCTGAAAACATGAAGCAAGTGTAATTGATGCAGTAATGTCTGCCTGAGTCTGCAGAGAGCCTGAAACAATAGCTTTAAGAGATGTGAATTGCCCTATACATCTCCTTGGGATGGTCACTCAGATGTCCAACAATGATCGTTTAAATATCAACATTTAACTATATTTACAGTAGAACCTCAAGAGATGCGAACACCTTGGGAATGGAGGTTGTTTGTAACTGAAATGTTCATAACTCTACAACTGAACATTGACTTTATACAGCTTTGAAACTTTACTATGTAGAAGAAAAATGCTGCCTTCCCTTTTTTTTTTTAGTCACTTTATGTTTAAACACAGTACTCTATTCTATTTGCCCCCTTTTTTTCCCATCTCTGCTGCTGCCTGATTGTGTACTTCCAGTTCCAAATGAGGTGTGTGTTTGACTGGCCAGTTCGTAACTCGGAGGTTATACTTAGGGTGACCAGATGTCGCGATTTTATAGGGACAGTCCCGATTTTTGGTTCTTTTTCTTATATTACCCCCACTCCCTGTCCCGATTTTTCATATTTGCTGTCTGGTCACCCTAGTTATACTGTATGCTATTAAAGCACAGAAGAAAGGATAAGGAGAATCAGAGATCTGCACAATCTCCTCTGAGTGGGACCATCTCATTTTGGCACCAGGAGTGGATGGCACTTGAGAGAAAACCACTATTTTTTCCTTCCAATATGACCCATGGAAAAGGTCAAAGGACAGGAGCAGAGCCCTGGGATGCATCTGAGCCTCATCAAGTGGATGATATTCCTGCAGAACATCTAAGCTCCACTGAGGGGAAGCCAATTCTAGAGAGCCCAGTGTGGCATTGAAACCCTACAGCCTAGTCCCATTAAGCAGCAAAGACCAGCTTCTATTCTGGTGGTAATATGGGGCTAAGGACGGCTACTTCTACGCTCTGCTGGATGGAGGCTGTCTGCAGAGTCACACAAACACCACTGTACCAGTTACACTAGGGTCACATTCAAGTTTTTTCTTCCTCTACACGTGAAGTTTGGAAACATGTTTTTAATGAAAGCTTAAATTCTGACATCCTCGCAACTCTGGGAGTCCGGGCTTAGCTGTGTGTGTGTATGTATATATATGTGTGTGTATATATATATATATATATATATATATATATATATATATATATATATATATATATATACACACA